GAGATGCGGCGCGCTTGAGTTTGGCGACGGCGGTCGCGCGCTGTTCGGCGACTGATGACGGCTCCATGTGTCCGCCCGGTCGATGGATGAAAGAGGTATTTGGAGGCTTCGGACTCTGTAAGAAAGACTAGGCCGGCTGGCGTGGCGCAGTGAATGGTCGATGTAGGTTATACGGCGCGAGGTGTCACCAGCCGAGGACTGGGGGAGTGCTGGGAGTCAGTGCGGGTTGTGTGGAGCATGTAAGGCAAACTCAACACTCACGGAGGCCAGCGGCATGAAGACGGGAAGCTGAGAGAGAAAGAGGGAGCTAAAAGCGAAGAAAAGCTCGGAGCGGAGAAGACAACATAGCAGCAGCCGGAAATGGAATATCGGGAAATTAGACTTGTCAGAAAGCGCTGTCCGTGTTTCTCACTGCCTCGTGTCTCCCTCGCCATATTCATCGCTGCTCGCTCTCTTCTCTCGGCCAGCTGCCCGCTTGTTCCCCATCACTATTCTATCGCACTCTATCTCGCCGTTCCTGGCAGACCTCGCCTCGTCGACGTCCTCGTCGCCGGACGCAGCCTCCTCGTCGCGCTGTGTGTTTGACGAGGCCCCTCTGGCCACATCCAGCCGCGTTGCTCAGTCCGACTGTCGCCATGCCATGGCAAAGGCCGTCGCTCAATCCCCTCGTCGTTGCTGGAAGTCCTGCCGCAACTGAGGCGGTGTGTGATCTACATCCACATGCTGCGCCGGTTCGTGGAAGCATCGACGCCGAGGACAGTGCCAGAGCGTTTTATTTAATCCTTCGTATGCAGTAAGCACATAATTCGCACATCTGCTGAATGGGATTGCAGCTTTTGCGAGCCGCTCTACGAGCCTCATGACCCATCACAGAACATCGGGATGGAACACATCCGAGGTCCTCGCTCGCTCTTCCGGCCCGGGATTTTACGAGCGTACGGGCGAGGGCACGTCGAGGGCATTGACACTCCCAAAGTGGCTGAGGAGCTGCGTGTTTCCTCGACGATCACCACTTTGCGCAGACGTGCGCATCAGGGCCGCTCAACGGAACTTGGTCGCTCTGGATTGGCCAGTATACATATCTCCTGCTTGCTGTCTGTTAGTTCTTAGGACCACTCACGACTCCTGCGTGCGCATATAACGCACATCAGGATGCGAGGCAAATTTCTCGACCCAAATCGTTCTGGCATCAAGAGAATGCGCTGCATCTACGGCATTCTGGTCATGGGACGTCAGCGTGCGGTCAATGTCAAAATGAAAGCAACCTGGTGTCCAACGCGGCGCTCAACACCACGAAGTACATTCACGGGTGATGGCCATGTTGCATGCTGTGGCACCAGCGGTGCGATGTGTCGACAAGTTTGTAGGCGTTGTCGCATGGTCACTCGCTCACGTAGTCGCAAGTCGGGCATACGGACAAGAAGCAGAACTCGACAACACCGCTCCGTCATTCTATGCTATCCTCTTATCTCGCTTGCCTGACAGCCTTCGCCGAATAATATCATTTAGCCGGCGTCCATCTACACTTCGAGAATGCTGTGAACGGTCGTAGCTCTGCGATAACATCATAGTGATTCTCAATTCGGTCCATGTGATTGACAACTTGAGCGAGAACCATGTGAAGGAGGGGGGTGTTAACGTGACTAGTTCTATAGCGGCATATATAGCAGCACAAAGTGTCCTAGAATACTTTTATTAATAATATCACTCAGACGAGGATGATGCTGCCGGAGCCGAAGACAAGGACGACTCTGTTTGCGGCTCTAACTCGAGAGTTGCTTGAGACGCCTCAGTTGTCTGTCCACCGACCGGCGAATCGCCGGCCAGCGGAGTGGAATCCTCGTCATCGTCGTCATTCATTATATCTAAAAGTAGGATGTGTATATAGTCAAGTTCCATTCACGCATAGAAGGCAGTACGCACCGTCCCCATACACCTCAGGATGATCCCTGAAACAGCTCTGCATTGCCTTGAATTTTTCGACACAGTCGATGCCTTTCGGCTCCTTCTCGGAGTAGACGAAGCACGAAAATGCCTCCCGGAACTGGAGGCCGCAGGGTCCGTACGCCATACCGCCGAGACACGGGCAGTCCCAGTTGATTTCCCCTGTTACAGGGTTGAAGGCGCCGCCGCTGCCAGCGTCTGCCTCATCCGCTTCACCCTCCTCGGGCTGCGCAGTAGTCGGCGTCGAATCTGGCTCAACAGGGGACTCGTCCAACGTGGCTTCTTGTGCGGTAGTCGGTGGATGCGACTTAGAGACAGTCTCGGGTGTGAGGGTAGCCTTCTCAACCAGCGAGGACGACGTCGAAGCTGGTACCCAAGCGTGCTCAGAGGGTACTCCAAGATGAAAACGCGCACCAAATCACTTACGAGATGCGACAGAGTCTAACGCGACGTTCTCCCCGTACAGCGTCCGCCATGTAAGGTACGTTGCGACCGCTGCCGAGCCTGCTATGATGACGCGACTGGGACGTGCGACTGCCGTTGAACGCGGCGACGACGTATGGAGACAACGGCGAAGTGGTACCTTTGCAAGTGTCCTGAACATTTTGAACGTATGCAATGAACGTAAACAGCTAAAGCTTGTGGGCAAGCCCTCGGAGTAACCTAGAGGTGAACGTAGCCAGAAAGGGAATGCAAGCGCTCGCCGAGGCGGTTCGCTGCTGATTTTTGCGATTACTAAAGCTTGTATTCAATCTTTCAATCACCGAGTTACTCGGAAATTGTCCTCGGGCATACTAAGGACCATTATGCTCTTTTGTCATGACCAGTGTTCGAGTGTACATAATTACAAGCAGAGTACTTCATGGTTAACGTGAGCCGTGGTGCATGTACAAATTTATTTACTGAATCGAAGGTGAGGATAAAATTTTATCCGCCTCGCGATCCCCATCGACAGTGACTTTATGGCCCACACCAGCAGGAACGCAGGCTTTGCCGAGCGCATGCTCCAGTGCCACCTTCGCGGCAAATCCGGTGCAATGCATGGGAAGAACATATGTGGGCGAAGGCCGTAGGCGATTTGCAAGAAAGTCCACAGTGGGATCGATACGTGGCATAAGTTCAGCGCCCGCAAGATGAAGCCCACCAATAATCTACGTGAGGTAAGTAAACCTTTCGCTCCGCAAAAACGAGCCAACTGACCATATAGACCGGTCTGGAGAACGTCTTCACAGCGTCTTTCACAACATTCACGATGCCTGCATGGGAGCATCTACAGGGAGAAGGCATCAGTCATGGTGTATACTCCGACTGCACAGCGTATGACGGGAACACCAACGCGGAGAACAGAATCAACCCCTTGCCAGCAACGTCTACAGCGGCATAACGTTCATCCATCAATTGCTGTGTGCCCACCACAGTAAGACGGCGTCAATCTGGAAGAAGCGAACCGCGCCGTACCTCTTCCTTGATCCATTCCCCTCTGCCCTCCTTCTCGACCCATCTGATGCCACTCAACAACCCCCCCTCAAACTGAGTGACCCTCGGAATCTCCCCGCTAACCCACACAGTCCCATCTGCAACCGCGTGTCCCTCTCCGCTCGCCTGCACGACACCGCCCGCTGCCCTGATTTCCTCAAACGTCGGGTCAGACGGGAGCCTCCCTATGACCGGCCGACCGCCCGCGACCGGCCCCTGGAACGCCACCGCGCGGGCGGTCGGCCGGTCAGGATGCACGTCCACGACACACGGCGGCATGTCCTGCGCATGCTCGGATGCGCTCCGGATGCGCAGGAAGGTTAGGATTCCGCCGCTGTGGTCCGAATGCCAATGCGAGAGGATGACGCGCTCGATCTGATGCGTCGGGATGTGCATCGCCGCGATGTTGCGCGCGATGGATTTGGACTCCGGGCCCGTGTCGAAGAGCGTATAGTGGGGACTCTCGCCCTCAATCTGGGTCTCCTGTAGAGAGTTAGTGTTAGGGGCTCAGCGGGGTAGGATAGAGACGGACAATTAGGGCAGAGAACCCATGTGCGCCTATCTATCAGTGAAATCAATAGTAATTAAGATACACTGCGAGCTTACCGCAGCAGTAGTTCTCTAGGTCTATGAACGGGGTGTTTGTGACAGGGTCGATGGGTGGATTGTGGTCCTGTAGATGCTGTGGGACTTCATGTGTGAATCCCGGGGGCAATTTGGTCATCCTCCATCATCATAGTAGCACAGTCAGTCACAGAATACAGGGCACACAAGCAGACATACCATTCAATGCAGTTATCAACTATGAATGTCGCGACAAACTTGTCGACAGTTCTGAGAGGTGCCATCGTGAATGTCTACCACTGCAGCTAGTGCTTTTATACTTTAAGGGGTAACAGGAATAGTTAATAGTGATGGCATTGCGCAAACAACACTGAATCGCCTCACCGATGGTCTTGAGTCTACGCCTGATGCAGTGTAGGTCTCGTTTCAATTCTGATTCTGATGCACTTCGTAAGGTACACGTGAGCGAAAGCATCCAAGTCATCTCGTGATCAGTTAGAATAAAGGATCGAAGACGCGTGGTCATTTCGACCGTCGAAATCTATTCGGCAAAGCAGTAGAGTACAAACAAAAACACCTGGAAGCAGTCCGGGTACGTTCCGACCACAGATTACAAAATACACAATCACAAAACAGGCCTAAATCTTGCTGTGGCAAGCAATTCAGCAAATGCAATATGCTAAAGGACCGGTCTCACACTCACCCAATACCACCATAACCCATAGCAGCCCCCTGCTCTGCGAGCTTGCGCTTGCGGAACGCCTGCAGGATTACACATATCAGTAAGTGTCCACACTCATCAACGTAAAACGGTAATGACTCACCCTGCGGTACATCACCCGCTCGAACGTGACCAATATAACTAAGATCATCGTAATGCCAGTCAACGTGCAATACACAACCAGTCCGACCGGGATGATCAAGATGTGTCGTCCTGGTATGACGAATGGAGCGGCGGCGGCGGCAACTGCGGTCTTTGTCGCAGCCGATGACGCAGCCGAAGTGGTGGCGCCCGGATTTGCGTCGTTGTTGATCTGTGTAGGATTAGAAGATCCAACGTTGTTCAAAGCACCATCCGCAGTTCCCTCAGAAGCGGTAGTCTATAATGTGATCAGAACAGGTTTACGCATTTGACAGAAATACACTTACCTCGGGGTTCGCTGCCACAGGAGTGGTCGTGGTCGCAGAGAACACAGCGCTAGATGCAACTGAAGAATGGCCCTGTATGTCATTAATTTATCAGTTTCGGAAGGTAAGTGCACTGGTATCGGTGCAATGGCAACAGAAGTCCCACACAAACAACAAATACAGGGTGTTGGCAGCAAACAAAAATACGCACATTAACAGCGACTGCAGGATTCGTTGTGGCAGCACCGGCAGCGGCGGTAGTGGGGGCGGCGGGGTTCGCACCGCTGGAGGAGACCGGGGACAGCGTACAAGTCTTGACTTCTTGATAAGATCCGGACGCGTCGGGCGTCAACGTTATAGTGCACGTTTCCATTTGTGGACCAGTTGACCTATCGAACGATCAGCTGGCAGAAAATAATAAGGAACAAGCATCTACGAACGTCTGGACCAAGCGACTAGTCGAAACGGTCGTTGGCGTGGCCGCGGCAGCCCGAGCAGCATGCTCGACTCCAGTAGCAGGAAAGAGAACAATCGGTGACCCATTCACAAGACCAGCAAGGTAAAATGAGAATAGGCAGACAAGAACTGAGGACTTGAACAAGCCGAACATCTTGACTAAGTCTGAGCTGAGACGGATTGAAGCTTGGTTGTGAATGCGCGGAGGCTGGCTCCTTTGTTCGACTGGCGGAACGGCAGAAAAAGAAGGAATGGAAACGCCCCCGGGGCAGAAAGAGAGACGAGGAGAAATGTGAAGAGGGAAACGGTAACCCGAGTCTAGCGTTATACACACCACCTCGGACTCGTTTATTTATAGTTGTGGTGCCGCTCTAGTCCGAGATCTCTACGTTTCAGACTCCGATTATGGCATATGAACACTGGATTAGGCTGGATTAGACTAACTTGAAACTCAGACTAAAGTCTGAGGTCGCCGCCGGCGCCGGCGATCACGATCAGTGTAGGCATCGCGACGGGGTTGTCACTAGGGAACGAGGTCAAAGGTCAAAGGATCCCTACAAGTAATGGACTCTCCGCTGTGGGTCCCACATTGAGAAAATAAGAATGATTCACATAACAGAAACATAAGATCTCTGAACATCTCACTTATAGATTCATGTTTGCTGTGCTCAAGCTTGCGCAGACAGAAGCACAAAGTGAACAGTGTAGTATTAAAATGTGACAGGGTAAAAATGTATCTCTGCTATGTCTTCTAATATCGTGGACGGCAGCGGTTCCATCACTTACGATTACAAAGATCAGGCACGTATCAAGCCAAGCAGTGAATGCATAGCCTCCGTCATCGCATTCCTCCCTCAACCGTCTTGTACAACTTGCCGTCCTTGATGCGACGTTTCTGATGTAGCTGTGCGAGCGTCTCCACTAGGCCCGTTAGGGCTCGTGTTCCCCATTTCTCGAATGCCAGAGACAATACGACATTCACGGTCACCACCGCCAGCAACGTCGTCCGGGCAGAGAGTGGGAGTGGTACTAGCTCCAAAAGCGTCGCTATAGGTCGTGGTGGGACGACCAGAACGACTATATTAAATAATGACAGACAGGCGAGTGACAACATGAACAATCCTGCGCCAAGCTATCAGCAAAACTTATCGAACATGACAGCACGCCTAAGTCATACCATTCGTCCACATGGCTTTCCTGTAAGGGGGACCGATGCTGAACACCGCTGCAACCAATATATATTGGAAACAAGAGACTAAAAAGAGAGCTGAGTTCTCGAAATTTGTAGCCTCGAGTTTATCATTGCCGAGATCCGGATCCGATGGGGGAGGAGGTGTGTACCTTGATCGAAGTTAGAGAGAGTACCTTGATTACAGCAATGAAATGGAGACAGACCATTCTTGCCGGCGAACCCAGAAGAACGCCCAAAATTGAGTAGCCGCTGTCATTAGGATCTGTCCAACCAGACTTGCGAGTACTTTTGATGACACCAAACTAGCCGCCGGACGCTTTGGATTGATGCGAGGGAATGGCAGTGTCCTGCCCACTGTGACATGTCAGTAAATCCTACATGGGCCAGTCTCAGTTGACGTACTAGTCACTGCGATAGGAATGATGATAAATAAGTCAATATATAGGAACTGGATATCACTCATCAGAAACTGACTCGATTATAGGCACGTATGATCATACCTGGAAATCTCCTAATGACGAAGCGAAGGAATAAAGCAGCGTAATCGTGGTGAACTGTATAAGCGAGTACAGCGCCCTGTGGGAAAGGTTGTTTATACGGGTGACGCAGGGGGGGTTGTGATACATACATGTACTTGAAACAACTGAAGCTCGTCACAAGGGCAGCTCGTCCCTCCTTGATAACCTCCAGTACGCAGCTGATATCGGGAGTACGACTCGTGAACGGAGCAGCCACTGACGCTTCTGCCTCTGAAAGGGACAAGCCAACGTCTGCGGCCTTCAAAGCGGCGCAGTCGTTCGCGCCATCACCACACATGAGCACAGTATACCCAAGCGACTGTAATCGCTCTACCACTTCGTTCTTTTCGTCCGGTGACATCCGAGCGAAGATTTGTGTCTTTACAAGCATCTGAAATACATGATTAATGATTGGATTCAGATTGTTACCTATATGCCATACGTACGCGCTGAAGGGTTTCCAGGGGCGCATGGTTGATCATCCATCGGAAGACATCACCGGATAGAGCCAGAGTGTAGTCTTGGTAGTCAATCTCGCCCGATTCAACTAGGTGATTACCAGGTGGGTCCAAAGGCTTCAGACTATAGTCATCCAGCTTCCAACCCGGCTCATCCATTGATGACCATTCAAGCTTTGCCAGCGGTGTTGTCGGATTTCCTACGAGAACATGAAGTCAGGATACACCGTGAGTTCTGCCAGGTCGTGTGAAAACCTACCCCTGCTGAAAATAGGCGCGAATACATGTGCTGCGGGATTGATAAGACCACATTCCCTCGCAACGCTCACTGCAGTCAATGGATTATCCCCGGTTATCATCCTACATGCGAAGTGGGCAACTCGCAAGGATTGGATTGCGGGTGCCGTTCCGGGCTTCAGCTTGTTTTCGAAGATCACCAGTCCAAGGAAGCGTAAACCTGATTCTGCCTGCTCACTATTAAAATGTTAAGAGATGAGCCATGAGCTCACAACTGCCACTCACCGTTTCAGCTTTTGAGCTTTCAACCAAGACAGGCCCTCCACGCTCTTGCCAGCAATAGCGATCACTCTGTATCCGCGCTTAGTATAATAGGACAACAGATCGTCATAATCCTGAGGGACTAGCGATAAGGCAAAGAGATGAACGAAAATCATATGGTTGGAATCGTAGGGTGCACTCACAGGAAGCCTTGTCACAGATTTCACCCATAACCTCAGGCGCGCCTTTTACATATATTTCCATGCTGGTGCTCTTCAGTCGCTTGACAATGACACTCATCCTACGCAGGGCGGAGACAAAGTCAAATGTTCGAATCACGCCTAACTCAAGGAAATGCGCATGCTATCATCCTGAAATGTCAGAAAACTGTATTAGAGATAGAAGATTGAATGGTTTGACCTTTCCGCCTTTCAAAGCATCTTCTACCCTAAATTGTGCACTACCTGGCGGACGTACGACAGTCTGGACCAATGCAGCAGGACGATCGCCGCTCGCTCGGCTCTTCACAACAGCCATCCCAGCAGTATCACCTTCTTCCAGCGTCCATCTGGTGAACTCAAACATCTTCACGTCTAACGGGTCGCCAATTGCTTCGCCATCGACCATCTTGAGAGAATGACAAGTCGCAAGCGCGTGGAGAAAATTAGCCTTGTCGAGACTCGAAGGTAAATCGTGTATGTTCTCTATGAGTTCGCCAAAGCGGTCCATGTTCCGTTCCAAAGAACGCACACCTAGGATGTCTAGTCCATCCTCTGTGAGGGTGCCAGTTTTATCGAAGCAGCAGACGTTGATCTGGCCTGCAACATTGACGCGGTTGGGTGATATACAGAATATACCTGATTTCCGAAGGCGGCCAATCGCAAAGCTGGTTCCAATTGAGAGAGTAGCAGGGAGTGCAGGAGGCACAACAACCGTAATGAGATCGAGTGCACGGATGAGAATTGTATGCCATTTGACCTGTGAACGTTAGGAATGAACAGTTTCTTCATGAGCGTGAGCTAACAATATATCCGTACCCCGAGTCGTACAAATTGGATTGCACTGGCACAAAAGCCCAAGCCCGCAACACCAGTCAGAACGAGAATAAATCGGATAGAGTCGCGGTAAAACTTGAATCCCATAGGCTTTGGGAATAGCATTGAGCGGACCAAGGCACCTTTGGTCGTATTGAACCCTAATAGCCCGACGATTAGTCAGTTATCATATATATCCAATGTGCTCACCTGTCCGAACAACAAGTCCTAACGCAGGCGTCCTGAGGCTGCCATCAGGAGCGAGTGAACCTCTCATGCGTACAACGTGAGTACCAGAATAGAGAAAGCTCTTCGCAATATCCCCATTGACGTCTTTACCATCCCTATATTGTGCAAGGCCGTCATCTTTGACTGGTATTTTCCCAACTGGCACGCTTTCTCCGGTAAGCATGCTCTCGTTGACAATGGCATCACCAGAGAGCAGGAACATGTCAGCGGGGAGAACTGTTAGCTGTGGCTCAATGAGATTGACAATATCCCCAGGCACAAGTGAGGAGGAATCGTGTTCCATCCCTAGAATACGAATCTCATCAGATAATTGATGAATAGTCCAACGCGATTGTTACACACATGCACCATCCAAAAATACTTTCACTCGACAGGTAAATTTAGACATTTCTCGCATGCGAGTAATCGTCTGCAAAGATGATAAGTAATAGAGTAGAGAAATATACAAAAATGTACCTTTTTAGTGTCCACAAGAGTTGTAGTGATACTGATGGCTGATATTAATGCAATGCAGAATGCGTAGTAATAATAGTCGTCGAGAGACCACAGAATAATACTTGCAATTTGAAATACATAGAATGGGTGTATAACCTGTTAAAAGTGAGCTTTTGGGTTCTGGGAGGATTACAAGATCATACTTCATCTATTAGTAACGATACAGTGGTTTTCCCCTCGATATCTATTATATTTGATCCAAATAATATACGTCGTTGCAACTGCACAACGCTACTCAGACCATGCTGAACGGAAGCAATTCCTGCCCAGGTTGGATCCCTCCAGTCTCTGCTTGCAGCCGTCAACATCTTATATACACACAATAGAACGAGTCAACAATACCTGATCATGCTAAATAGTCCAGTGCGAGGATCCAGAGCAAAACGGGCGTAGCGATAATCGACAACGGCCAAGGACGTGAAATTGTGAGAATGATCGTCTTCCAAAGTCGCATCGAAACGCAAAGTCCGCGTCGAAGTCCTTGACAACGGTATTCTTACGGAAGGATCCGGTGTAGTTGGAAACACTGTCGACAAGTCATACGGATAGTCTATCCTTCGTAACGGAAATAATGCAACATCCCTGTAGGTAGTCTTTGACTCGTTGGCACTGTAACCTGTATCAACGACAGGTCAAGGACCCACCTCGACGACTACAAAGCCGTTTTGTATATCTTTAAAGGCCTTCTCTTTTGTGACCCAACGTAACCACAAGCGAGGAAACCAGTGTCCTAGCAGTGCCAATATACCGCAGCTACAGATGCAGCAGAAGCGCCATAGCGATTGTCGCCAGAATAAAGTCTCAAACCCAACCATCCGGATGTCGGTATCTTCATCAGCCAGGTAGATTGTTTGTCTGCTGGGTGGTCCTGGGGGTGGCGGTGACAGCGGCTCAAAATCACCCATTTCAATGCGTGCTTCTCCACCAAAAAACGTATCACCGGTAAGGAGAGGCAACGATGGTCCAATTGAGGGGGATGGCGGATATGATCCATAATCGAGTTCACTGCCACTTTGACCGTCAGCACGTTCGACGTCCACAGACGCTTCGCTCTCGTCTTCTTCACCAGACGAATACCCCCATCGCTCATCGCCGTCGACTTCTGACGCAACACCATAATCTGAGCTTGCATCGGAGCGCCTACTGCTTGACCGACGGAGGAGCCGTGTCCGTGAAGTGCGACTCGATATCGAAGGGCGGCGGCTGCGAGGAGGCGATTCCGTTAAATGACTTCTACCGAACATGTTTGCGATGTTCTCAAATACGGAGGACCGATGCTGAGGTGACGACGGAGAAGGGGACCGTCTGAGTCTTGCCCTCCTGGACATACTATGACTCTCGCCTTGTCCGGTTGGCATATTCTCGTCATGAGGATGTCGGTCATCGCCATTGTCCACCGACCCATACGACAGCTTGCTGTCGTGGCTCGTCCTGTGAAGCGGGCTCCCACCTCCACTTGTGCTCGCCTCGCTATATCTTCTGGCCCTCGAGCCCCTTGACCAAACGTCACTACTACGCCGTCGGCGATCTCCAATTGACATTCTTGAGACACTGCTCGGGTTCACTGAATGTCCTGGTCCATCAAACATGGTCCCATCACCATCCGCGCCATAACGAGACTCCCGTCTTCCTCGAACGCTACTCTCTAGAGCTTGCTGGATGTCGATGGCGGACGCACCCTCTGTGTAATCAAATGCCTGTGCTTGTGAAGACGATTCCATCCAAGAATTTTTACCTGGTAAATCGAGGGCAAGATTGACGAGACCAGTAGATGCTGGTGGCAATGGATGAATTGGCGCAGCTCAGCGGCTCAGCGCATACGGCCAGAGAGTGGCCGTTCAGACTAAATATACGAGCGCTTATCGAAGGCTCCCGGCTCTGGTCCAATGATAGTAATACGTCACCATCTCCGGCAGATTGTGCTGCCAGTGTATATGACGATCATATAGTGACTTCTACTCGCCGCGTTGACTATCTCTAGTGTGCCGATACACAAAGGCACGTATAGATTAGCAGCACTACTAAGTACACGCAAGAGGAGTCCAATGTCGTGGAACACGATAGACACAGGCGACAAGCTCAGCCTAAATATCTCCATATGAGGTAGAAACAGACAAAAGTGAAGACTGCGCCAGCAATGAAGATATACATATCTTGGGTGCTGTGAATCGGAGATGAGGCCGCAGAACTCAGTCCCTGAACACGCATGCGTACCTTCGTCTCTCAATCCACCCAATTACATTTCTGCTCAGGCCGAGTGTGTTCGCAGCATCCAACAGACGCTTTTGTGTTCCCTTTAGGACGTTCCGTTGGTCCACTAGATCGTCAAGCACAGCACGACCTTGTGCAATAAAGTCATCGAGCCGAGCATCAGTATTTTGGATAAACGAATGTTCGCGCAAAGCGTATTGTTCCCGTAAATTGGATGCTGGCATAGGAGAAGCACGAAAAGGTGATTCAGAGACCTCTGAAGATGTCGACGCTTGACTAGGCATAAACCGTCGACGCGCATCTCCGGTTGCCGGCGACATTGGAATTGTAGAAGACGAGGATGCAGAAAGAAGTTCTGAACGCGTCGCCGCTTCATTCTAAATCCAAAGTAAATATATTGGTACTTTCATATCTCAACAGAAAATCCGGCTCACTTCGGTTTTGAAACGTTCAAACTGCCCTCGTAGCTCCGCATAGTCCACCCGAAATTTCTGTACTCGCCTTAATGATGGCAGTTGATGATCTCACGAATATGTTCACGACTTGCAAATAGTAGAAACACTTACATCAATGCCTTCTCTTGCTTCGCCTTGATAATTTCTCTCTTGGCCATCGAATCATAGTCATCCACCGTTCGATGCATTGCGGCCAGCGACGCGGATATCTGCCCTGCCTAAAGTCAGGACCATTCGCCATGCCTCTGACCTCCTCGTCCGCCTCATCTATGAGTAATACGAACTGACACAGACCTAACAGAGCTGCGGACTTGTCACCACTTCTGAGCCGTTCCAAGTCCGCCTGGATCGAGTTCGTTTGCCGCACACCAAGGGTATATAGCGAGTTCATGGCGAAAATAAAAAGAAAAGGTCGTTCCCCTGTCGATGAGATGGAAGCACCTAGACGATGAGTGCGCGCGACACGCCTCCAGCGTTGCGGTCGCCAGACACGGCAGTCGCAGTCGCAGTCGCGGTCAATGTCCTCTGCGCACGTGACAAAGGAAAGGAAATCCCGCACGCTTTTGCCTCCGTGATTTCAAGTCCGATCCATATCGTCCGAGCATTGCTGTTCAATTCCAATGACTGTGCATAGCAGAAACGTCTAATTCCAGCCGCCATTGAACTCAATGTGTGCGTTTAATACAAAGGAACTCAGCGAAGAATTACCTTGGGTTAGCGAGTTGGTGCAGCTTCCACCTACATCAACGCGGGTGATAGATGCAGACGAAGAGGTGCGCCGGTCTGCATTGAATAGTGCGCCCTTATTATCCGCAATTCATTCGATTCGACATAGGTCTTTCTACAATACACAAACTTGGCCTCACGGGCTCCGGCCGACGGGACGCAGCGTTTCCGCGGGCTTGGTCACGTCGATTCGTATAACGATGTACTCACGATTGAATTTACCATCCCCGCTAGCCCGCGTGATCACGTAGGGACCATTCATCGTCAGGGTCGGTCTGGAAAGCCAGTCAAGAGGAATAGAAAGACGTCTGGGCAGGCACAGACCTTGTCAGTTGAGCTTGCCCAGGATAAGACTGCTCTTCGCAGTCGCAAGGGTGACACTGGAAGTGTGGTATGGCACGCGAGGTATGTCATCATCTGTATGTGCTAGATAAACCGTCATCTGCATGCATTTATTGTAATTGACTCTGACGCGGTGTAGTATTGATTTCGCACAAACTGTCCTCCGACAGTACTATACCCGGGAGATTCATGCTCTTCTTAACCCTACCGCGCTATCGAACGCCCATGTGCTCGAGCTAGGGTAAGGTTCCCCAAGTTCTCCCAAGTTCTCAGCTTATCAGTAGTGTTCTTGTGCTGTTGCGCCACTTGATTGTGCTAAGGGCCGGCACTGGGCTCTTGAGCGTCGTAATAGCCCCTCTGGTTGCGCATTATACCGTTACGGATATCGAGGCTCTAGTTCCGCTAATTCGGAAGAACTTGACGTTGAATACACCAAAGATATTCCCAATTACTCCTTCGGATCGCCGGGCTCACCCTGCCACATCACGTACATCCAATGTCAGCGCTGAGGCTCTGGATTGGATTACCTTGCACAATGCATCCCCCGCCTTTCGTCGGTCCTTCGCCTGTTATCCAGAACTGGATTTGCTTTTAGTTGTAGATTGCATCTATCATCCATCGTTACTCCCGGCACTGCTGTCTACTATCGACCATCTAACTATACCTGGGAAGACAGCTGTCCTCGTGGTGGTGGAGCTGAGAGCGGAGGATGTTGTGAGGGAGTTCCTAGACGGGTGGTTGAACATATCTTCAGGCGCACTGTGGCAGATCTATAGTGTTAGTGCATTTATGGAAGGACCTTACGCTGTATGGATTGGGTGGAAGACTATATCGAATGGAGATGCGTAGCAAGAGTATATCAATTAGTTCGCATCCTGATCGCCTCGCCTGAGAGCGTAGTTGACGAACTGTGCATGAGTTATTATAAGAATCACAAGGAAGCATGCCCCATATACAATATAAGGATACAGCGAGTCCCTATTTTCGCTTCCTGCGACCATCTCCGCTTTTCCTTGACAATTTGCCCCCAGCGCGCTCGGCTTTCTCTGTTCTCCTTCTCCTCTGCTTCATTCGCTCTGATTTTCTCGCCGCATTGGTCTGGTATTTTATGTCTTTCGCTTTTTTGACTAGCTTTGATTTCGCAACGAGCGGCTGCGACCTTAATGTGTCTCTCGACTTGATCTTCGGCTGAGTCCTAGGTAAAGTGGATGAATGAGCATTCTGAGACTTCAGAGATTCCGGTCGCGACTCTTGTGGTCCATGAATGATTTCTGCCGGGTCAAAGTCTTCGACAACAGTCACGGTTGCGACCTGTTCCTCCATCTCATACTCTTCCTCAATCTCCTTCCCTTTACCCTTGTTCGAGATCCCCTCCGCAGATATACCGGACCACTCCTGATCGCTTTCGTCTTGGCCCTCTAAGAAACACATTATGCACTCAGCCAGGGTGTATTCACGAGGTGATCTACTGACCAGAGTGAGCGCCATAAGCCCTTTCTGTCTCAGCTGCATTTTGTGCGGCTCGCTCGGCGAGTAGTTTTCGTTTCTGAGAAGTGCGTCATGCATATGTTATGACCGGGTTGGCCAAATACGCACCTCTCTTCGCGCTTCTAACCTCTCCTGCTTCTCCCTTTCCAAAGCCTTCTTCTTAGCGGCCTCCTTCTTCTGCAGCTTTCTCTTGTGAAAACCGGTCAAAAAATCTCTATGCTATCCTACTGAGAAGGAGAATATATAGTTGGTTGGTGAAGGGCGGACCTGCGAGCCTCATCATCGAAAACAATCTCTTTGATTTGCTCTCGCTTTGCGCGTTTCTTTGCTGCGATGATTTTGTGGGAGGAGGTTAAGACGGTCAAATTGGAAGTGGACATATTCTGTATATAATCAATGCGTGGGGATGGTTTGCTGCAGCCCCGTTCTAATCTTTGAGCAGGCTGACTGAGCTTTGAAGTGCGACAATCAAGTACTTGGAAGTCGAGCTGCACAATGGCAATGCGTCTATTTGCATCCGTAGGACCGGAACAGGGCCGCAGTCGTCCCGGAGTTGAGAAGCCACGTGGCAAACACTGAAGACCCGAAAAGGAAACATTGCTTCTCTCCTGTAGTAACTTGCCCACGGTGGCTACTCAACTCTCGACAAGCTTAAACATCAGGTCTCAGATTGAGGCAACCGGGCTGATTGACTGGCTTGCGAACACGGCTGCATGAGCATGGGCTTTCGAGTCGACTAGTACAGGTTCAGTCCGTTGCCCAATCGGCATTGCCGAAATCGCCTATCTGTGTATGAGAGTGGACCACATGCTGCGCACCAAGTTTATTCTCAAATACATCTCTGGACTTGCTTCTCTATCACACGGACAGTCCCTCGGCGTTTTCAAAAACCTCGATTGCACGCCACGGATTTCATTTATCCGACGAGCGCTCCATGCGTACATATGCAAGTTGGAATTATTTATCTTATCAGCTTCTGGTCTCTGGCACCCGGGTCTCTCAAGTACCGCTGCACTCAATATTTCCAGGACATGTGGTACTCGTAGCTTCGCTCAACACTCATTCCTCGCCGCATATGGGCTTTCAACAATCCAAGCCCACAGCCCAGACTCGAGTAAGAGGCAAACGAGATCCGTGTACTACACCTCTGATCAATATTCTTGTTGCATTGTTCCAGAGGCTAACTGCGGAAATACATCAAAGACCGTGGCTTGGCGCGTGCTTCTGTCACATTCAAAATCAATCGGGACAGATAACTGTTAGTCTCCAAGATCTGTAATCGTTATTTGCGAAATACTTACGCATGTTTTCAGTACAAAAAATTATCCCATTCTCTGCAAGAGATGTACATCATCTCACGCTATCATGTGTTGACACTCACTGACCATTGAATAGTACCGGAGTATCTTTGTCTCCTGTTGAAGCCAGATGTCGTATGGGCTTGTGCACCCGCCTACGACAGTTGACCTTTCTGCGCTTGATTCAGTCATTCGTGCGATGATATGCACTTTCCGATGGAATCTCAGTTTACGTTGTGCTTCATTCTGTGCCAAAGAGGAGTGCCACTCCTATGGGCATTACATCGCTTGCTCAGACGGCTTACTCTAGGAAACCAATTTTATGGTAGGAGAGGAAGATCTAGCTATTTCTACTCGGAATAGTGTTTGAAAGCCTTATAACGTGAGCCGACACGACTGCTCTCGTGCTTTCAAACAGTTGACCAAGACTAGCTTGGCATATTGAGGGTGCCTGTTCGGAGTCGTCTGGATGGTGTTCGTGTGCACTCCGTACCTGCTGAGTGGATCACCCACGATAAGGCCCACAGCTCCGTCATTGCCGTCTCCCAATGCTTCCTCTTATCTTGGAATAATCTCCTCCCGGTGAATAAGAAGCGGCTACCTGGGAACCTACAGCATCCTCGCGCCGCTCTCGAGGACCCCCGCTCGGCCCATCATGTCGAACGCCTCTCATGACCGAGATTCCGTCAGCTCTCTCTCTAAGAATGAGAAGCTCGACGCAGAGGGAGGCATGTCGTTGCGCTTGTAGTCGCCTTGTACGCATGTTGACAGACAAGCTTACCCACAGTAATCAATGTTCTACCCATAGCCGACTTCGACGACCCAAACCTCGACAAAGATGCTGTTGAATTTGGTATGCATGCAGTGTCCTATTTTTTTTACTGCTACTGACGCCAATGATTTACAGAGGATGATTCACCTTATCCAGAGGTCCGTTCTGCTGTGGCCAACACCGACGACCCGTCCATGCCTTCCTCGACTGTCCGGGCGTGGGTCATTGGTGTAATTTGGGCTATCATTATTCCTGGCATGAACCAGTTTTTCTTCTTCCGCTATCCATCCGTTAGTGTTGGCAGCGTGAGTGTTGTATTACCCATATGGGCTTATATGTGACAGTCTGCTGTCAGTATGTCGCGCTACTCATTTCTTTCCCCATCGGCCGTGCATGGGAGCGTTTCGTACCCAAGGTCAAGATTTTTGGACACGCTATCAACCCAGGCCCCTTCACCGTCAAGGAGCATGTTTTGATTACTATTATGGCAAGCGTTGGTGCATCATCAGCGTACGCGGTAGGTATCTTATTGATATCTTGCGGCCATGTTTATACTTACAATTGTGGATTTACAGACTGATATTATCGCTGTACAACGTGTATACTACAATCAGGAATATAACTTCGGATGTGAGTCACTAGTCCCATCGAACGCTTTCATTGATACAAATTTTCTCCATTCAGATCAATGGATGGTCGTTATGAGTACACAAATTGCAAGTAGATTTGTGGATGCGAAGTTCGACAGTTATACTCAAGGGTATGCTCTAGATCGGATTTTCTATCGGTGGTATCCTGCGCCGCTTCTTAGTGCAGCCTCCCTCTATGAGTTCGTGATTTCGCACTGATTGTTGGTATACCGCTGACACACTATCATCGCACAGTCTGGCCTACAAACCTCGTCACTTGCGCGTTGTTCAACACTTTACATCAACAGGAATATGCAGGTATCGGAAACCGTGGTGGTATACGCCGTGAACGCTTCTTCACTTATGTGTTCTTGGGCTCGTTTACCTGGTACTGGTTCCCGGAATACATATTCCAGGCCCTGTCTTACTTCAACTGGGTCTGCTGGATCGTCCCCAACAATGTCGTCATCAACCAGCTATTCGGCTACTCGAGTGGCTTGGTATGTTTATTGCTCAAGTGGCTGCTCATGGCTAACAAATACCGGTTTCCAGGGTATGTCCTTGATTACGTTCGATTGGGCGCAAGTAAGTTCTTATCATGTCTGAAATGTGGGATGTTTTGTTATGAACATGTCTTCAGATTTCCTACATTGGATCACCCCTGGCAACCCCTTGGTGGGCGGAGGCAAACATTGCCGTCGGCTTCGTCTTCTTCTTCTGTAAGAATGTGTTTTTTGAGCCACATGTGTGGCCGCTAATATTCTGAGCCAGGGATATTGACTCCCATCTTGTATTACACGGACACGTGGTATAGCTCATACATGCCGTAAGTCTATCGTTAAGTGGCATGTCGTACATGTACTGATAATGTATATTCAGTATGTCGTCGAGAACCTCGTTCGACCGGTACGGAAACAGCTACAATATTACTGCTATCATCAACTCCGACGCATCTCTCAATGTCGAGAAGTATGAGGCATATAGCCCGCTCTTCTTGTCAACAACCTTCGCCATGTCCTACGGTCTCTCATTCGCGTCAATTACCTCCATCATCACGCACACTTTCCTGTACTTCCGCAAGCAGATTTGGGTGCAGTCTCGCCGCTCTATGAGTGAGCAACCGGATATCCACGCAAGATTGATGTCAAGGTACCGCCAAGTTCCAGAATGGTGGTACGCGACGCTGTTGCGTATGTAGCATTTTCTATTTATTCCTCCTCATTCTCAGAACATATGAATATGCAGTTTCAATGTTCGTCTTCGGTATTGTAGCAATCGAGGTCTGGCGCACGCAATTCCCCGTCTGGGCGTTTGTTCTCAGCCTGATTATTGGTATGCCTCCCGTCAGTTTTTGATCTACGATCATCGTAATAACGCATATACAGCATTTGTATATTGTGTTCCCGTTGGGATGATCCAAGCTATCACGAACCAGCAGCTTGGTTTGAAGTACGTTCCGGCTTGCGAACCTAATGACCCTGAAGTTCACACTTCCCCAGTGTTATTACAGAGCTTATTATCGGTTATGCATTACCAGGACGCCCGATTGCGATGATGATGTTCAAGACGTGGGGATATATCACTATGTACCAAGCGCTGCAGTTCGCCTCCGACTTCAAGCTTGGGCACTACATGAAGATCTCGCCCCGCCCGATGTTCTGGTGCCAAGTAGTGGCGACTGTCATCGCGGGCACCGTGCAGCTCGGAGTGCAGGCGTGGATGTTCACTAATATCCCCGATATGTGTTCTCCCACTCAGGAGAATGGCTTCATCGTAAGCAGCCCGACACTCTAATGTGATCTGACTCTGACGTGTATACTTCTCCAGTGCCCCTCAACCGAGGTCTTCGGCACAGCATCCTTCATCTGGGGTGTGATTGGTCCTGCCCGCCAATTCTCCAAGGGACAAATTTACTAGTTCGTCTTCTGTCCAGTACCTGGTGTCCATGTATCTGATTGTCTTTTTTAGCGGCTTGGTGTGGTTCTTCCTGGTAGGCGCAGTCTGTCCGGCCGTCGCGTGGGCCATCTCGCGGAGGTGGCCGAACTCGTTCATCAAATATGTCAACTTCCCCGTCATCTTCAGCGGAACGGGTGCGATTCCCCCCGCTAGTGCCGTCAACTATGTCCCGTGGGCCATCGTCGGGTTTATCTTCAACTATGTCATCCGCAGGCGTCACTTCTCCTGGTGGACCAAGTACAATTGTACGCTGCTCGTCTGACCAGTGCCATGTGGCGCGGCCGTGCTGACTGCTTGTCCCTCAGACGTCCTGTCTGCCGGCCTCGACTCGGGCGTGGCTGTTTCCATTATCGTCATCTTCTTCTGCCTCCAGTATCCGCTGAAAGGACAGATTGGGATCAACACAATCCAGACATGGTGGGGTAATACGGTCTCCTTCGACAATGCCGACGGCAGGTCTGCCAGCTGGAAGACCATTCCGACGGGAGGATCATTCGGGTACGTTTGGGTATCTGCTATAGCCTATCGCCTTCGGCGCGTTGACTCAGCATCCGTCTCCTCAGCCCGTCCTCTTGGTCATGAGCGTCTTCTTTCGGTTCTTTGCTTTGGAAATATGCTATAACCGGATTCCACCGGCCGTGGGTCGTGGGTGTATCAGTACTGTATGGTTTGGAATGTTATACGTATGGAGCACAATATGTGGTTGTTCTCGTCCCCTCCTAGAAGTTAGCACAAGAACGCCAGGAAGAACAGATGGGCGCGCGGAGCGGCAGGAAAGGCATTTCTATGTGTGACTCAGCCACGCACCGACTAGCAGATATAAATCCATTTTACTCATAGAAGAGGGTAAGGAGCTCAAGAAAGTCAGCTGACGAGTCATGTTGGCTGCCACTTGCTCTCCGTTCACCCACGGGGGTGTCTGATAGACAGGGTTTGTGTTGTGGGACTGCACCAAGAACGAGACTCCCCGCAATCCTGGGGAGTTTCTGACACGATGATGTGATGCCTGCCAGTGCAAGACTCCCCACGATTGCGGGGAAATTCTGACGTGATAGTATTGTGCGGAACAAGACTCTCCGAGGTCGCGGGGAGTTCCTACCAGACGGTGCTGTGTGGTGTGCTCGGAGGAGGTTTCAGCCACTTTATAAGTTCTAGTGAGCTTCATTACGGTGAGTCGAAATGTCTGAATAAATCATTAAACAATCTTATATGATGGTCCAAGAGATCTGTCTAATCGCGATTTCGAAGTCTGTGGAAACCGTACTAATACATGTAACATTGAACAAGATATGTCTCGGCTTCGTAGTGGCGTCAAGCACAGATTGACGTGACTAGAGTGATCCCTTGCTTCATGGGGCCATCGCTGTTATACGCGCACTGATTAATCCATCATACATGTTCTGGATGAAAGTCCGAAGGTATCAGAGGGCACGATGTGCCTTTTTGAACTCATCGTTCGCAACATTTGGCGTTACAATCTAGTGCTAAAGTGATATTGGCGTCTCTCGGCATAAGGCGGCTGATCTAGCGATGGCGATGCATCGATTCGGAAGATGTCCCATGGCATGGTGTATGACCTGCTATGTAAAACTTTTGGAAATACATGGCGAGATGCATCGAAGAATCTGTCTATCCACTTTTCATGGAGACTGGTCTGGTATTCATTTCATACGGCATATTCTTCGGGATGTCGATAAAGTGAATGAAACGCAGTCTGATTCGAGACTATTTGATGCCACACGCGTCAACGCGATTGCGTACCACCACTGCGCGTGAGTCAGGTACAGAGAGGTTTATAAAGCAGCTCACACCGAACGGACCCCAAACTTACACGACCATCCAGACTCCAATGTACGTGGCTGCTTCCTACATCTCTACCTTTGCCTAAACCTTCACTAGACCTGAACTTGAAGTCAAGCGCGCACCATGAGCCTCCCTCCACCGTCCGAGAACCAGGCGTATTGCACGGTGTCTGTTCTCCGTGCTGGATTTGCACAGCTGCCCCTGGCCCGGATCCTTGACAGCGTCACGGACCCCAGCGAGATGATCCGCGCCCCGTGCCTCTCCTTCCTGCTGCGCCACTCCGTGAGTGGCGACACATTCGTCTTTGACCTCGGCCTTCGCAAGGACTGGGAGACGGGCCTGCCGCCCACGCAGGCGGCGATCATCAAGCAGTACTTCACGGTCGACATCCCAGAGGACGTCGCCGACTCGCTGCAAAAGGGCGGGCTCGCGCCGGAGCAGATCGCGCACGTCTGCATCTCGCATATGCACTTTGACCACATCGGGGACACCGCGCCGTTCACGCGCGCGACGTTCGTCGTCGGCGCAGAGACGCGCGCGCTGCACACGCCGGGGTACCCCGCAGACCCCAACGGATTCGTGCGCTCGGATGTGCTTCCGGCCGGGCGGACGCGGTACCTGGAGCGCACGGAGATGCGCACGCCGGTCGGGCCGTTCCCGCACGCGTACGACTGGTACGGCGACGGGAGCCTGTACCTCGTCGACGCACCGGGGCACCTCCCGGGGCAGCTCACCGCGCTCGTGCGCACGTCGGCGGACGGCGGGTGGGTGTTCCTCGTCGCGGACGCGGCGCACGACTGGCGGCTGATCGCGGGCGAGGCGGGCATTGCGGACAGCGAGCATTTGGGGTGCATGCACCAGGACAAGGCGACGGCGGCGGCGACGATTGGAAAGATCCAGGAAGTCGCGCAGAACCCGCGCGTGCGGGTGTTGTTGGCGCACGATACGCGGTGGTATGAGGCGAATAAAGATGGGAACGCGTTTTGGCCCGGGAGTCTCGAGTCGCTTTGAGGAGGGAGGTTTGATGCTATGGTGTTTGAGACGGGATGAGTGTACGAGACATTTGCAGCCGTTGTGCTCTGAGTCTGATGCAAAGGCGAGGGCGTTCCGAGTCCGAGCCGTGTATCGGACGATCATGAAGGGTGACAAGGATTCCGATGGGGCTGTGAAGTTTGACAGACTCAACGTCCTTGTATATGTGTATACTGTACTATGCAATCAGCTTCGCTCATTGAGATGCTCCACTGCGTTCCTGTCGCCGGGAACGTATCGTTGAAATGAACCCGCCCAATTTGTTGGCGAGGCTCCGGCTCAGCTCGAGGAGATTTATCACTCGAGTGGTCCAAAGATCATGTCATGGAAATAGAATGAGGGCAAATTGTGGCTCAGTTGAGAGATATCGAGAGCTGCGAGCAACTTTAACAGATTGAAAATGGTCGCGTAGTAGGCTGAGTCACAGCGGTGACTGGGCGGCACGACATGTCCGGAGAATCTCACGTGATGCTCGCTTCGTGACTGTCTAATTTGGATTTGGTCACCGTTTAGAGGCATGATTGATTCCGCGAGTGATCCATGGAGTCCTTCAAAAGTACGTACCAAGGCGTACTTGCTCGAGTTTGGCACCGGCTGGCGGTCGGATCAGGGAGGGAATGATGCTTGAAAATGTAGGATTGCACGCCGCATGATTGAGCGTTGAAAAAAGCTTGGACGACAGCCGATGCCGCAGCTTGGGCGGCGCCGGGAAGAAAATTGTGCGCGGGAGACGCGGCGGCAGGGAAGCTGGTGAGAGAAGTGGACAGCGGAGATGGGGACGCGAACGGGTGAGCCGCTGAGGGATGGTGAAGGTGCAGGTGGAGGAGTTGATTTCCATAGTTGCGGCAATCATGTATGCCAAGGGAGAGTCGACACACATGTGCCCACTTGGATCTAGATAGTAATAATCCAGCGATCTGGGAGGAGGGCGGGGGTGCGGTGGTGGCGCGATCGTCTACTGGGTGGGACCACGCAGGGTGGCGGCGACCGGAGGATGCGGAGACGCAGAGGCAGTACTCCCCGTGCCTGGGGGTGGTCCTAGCCGAGGGATCGATTAGATTATGTCTCTTGAGCGAGATGATCACGTCAAGCACTTGCCTGTCTTCGCCAGGAAAGCAACTCGAACCCGGCCCTTCGTCTCCCATCTCGCTTCCGGGCGCGCCTCATAACGCCCTCTTCCCCCTCCTCAACGCCCTCTTCCCCCTCCACGTCGCCCTCTCCCTCCCCGCCCCCATGCCTGCACGCACCGTGCCCACCGTCCCCGACC